GGATAAATAGTGTAGAAAACGAGTGAATGAAGATATACAAACGTTAAATTGAGGTTGAGAGACTTTTTTTCTTCTTCTGAGAGCGAAGAAAGTAGATAATGCAGAAAAAAAAATAAAAGAAATAAATTCACATTTCCTTGATCGTCAAGTCAATTCTCTTATAATAATTATATTTTGAATGTCGTTTTCTTTTTCCAGCATTTAATTTTTTAATATTAAATATTTTACAAATACATGTTATGCATAAAAGCTTCAGGCAATAATTTAACTTCTAATTATATTCATGATAGTAATGTTATCATCAGTTGAACTTATCCAGGCACGATTTCCACTGGATCATAAAATCACATTATTGATTCATAAAATAGAAAATAAAATATATGAAATATAAAAATTAAACAATTGTTATGACGCAGCTTTAATTTTTATTTTTTATAACGTTGTGTGAGCAAATAATTCTAGAGATCAGAAATATATCCTGGTATACTTATGTTTTAAATTGTAATGCTAAATGAAAATGTCGACCTTCTAGCTTTACTTCAAACAGTCTGTACATCACCAGACTTTAATCTGTCACATACATATAATCTTCCTTATCATAACATTTTTATATTTATCCTAAAGAAAATGTTTTCGCAATTCCTTTCCTATTTATTCACAGGATTGAAAGAAAACTGTATATTTATTTAAGTGAACCTTAAAATCTATTTAAAATATTCTCGCACGTTGTTAATATACTAGATGTGAGATCCCTTTTTACATTTATACATGTATATAAATATAATCACGTACATACACGATTTTTTATCTTTCAACATTATATATATGTTTTATTCCAACTCTTTTTTTGAATTTTGGATTAAGAAACATTATATTTTGTTGAAATCTGCAAGAGAAATGCAAACGATAAAAGAAAACGATTTATTAGCAGTGCTTCTCTTAGCAGTCAATTTCAATAAGATCTCTTTATAGTGATAATATTTGCGAAGTGAATAAGTGAATAAGTGAAAAAAAAGATTGATATTTCATTTTCTTATAATACTAAATAACTTTTATTGATATAACATATTACGCCGATATTACTGTTATTTCGAGAGCTATTTCTCATGTGTTTTTGATATATAAATACCAAGATTTGTTCAATATACTTTAGGATTTTTCGGATCTTCGTTTATGATATATTGCTTCTGTGAAATGAAACATATCTCTGAAGTTTTGGTTATCAATTTTAAAACTAATTATCTCTTTATGAAAATATGTCATTTAATTATTATTGCCATTTCTTTTAACAAAATATTTTAACAATTAAAGTTATAATAAAATAAAATAATATATGTAACATGTCAAATAAATTAATTAGTTATATATTTGTAATAAAAAAGTTTGAACATGCGTTATATAATAGACATGTATTTATATAATAGACAATTTTCTTTTTTATATATTTATATTTATATATAATATCACAAATATAAAATTAAAATTATAATAAATAAATTTTATTATGAAAAAGATTATAAATTGAAAATTGATTAATATAAATTAATATAATTTCCTTATGTAAATAATAAAGACAATTAACAAGATTAAGTACATAGCAATTTTTCTCATATTGAATATTAAATTAGTTTGCACATGTACAATAGTCAGAGGAAGCTATATAGAGGAACTTCCTTTCTCCACGAATATTTGACTTTCCATAATTTCAATGGATTTCAACACGGTTAAATAATATAATATTTTCCAGGAAAGATTCAAATGTTTTCTGTTAAAGAAGATAATATTATCAATTAATTACTTTTCCTTAATACACAATATAAATACTAAGAAATATTAATTTTGAAAAAAACTGTTGTAAGAGACAATTACATTATAAACTGAAATAAAATTTAATTAATCAATGCAAAGCGCTAGAAAAATATTATTGTCTTATTAGCAAGGAAGGAAAAACATTTTAGATGATGAAATGTTTTTTATCTCTTGTTGTGACCAAACAATGCAATGCATGAAACTTTGATGTTGTTGCTTTCATACAAATATTTGAGCATTCCTATTGGTAATGTACCATATGCAACTGTATTATATTTAGTATGTTAGTAGTACGTTATATCGTAATGTACCACTTGCCAAATAATACCATAAATATCTAATAATGTAAGATTGTATATGTATTGAATTAAGGATGTATTGAAATACAATATTTTCACGTTACTTTGTATGCGAATATATGCATAAATATTAGTTACAGTTTGTCTTGCATTATTGTGAAATTATAGTATATGTAAAACATACAATAAAATAATCTTTTAACTTTTTGCAAATATGCAAATACGTAAATATGTATATTTGATACGATATTTAACTACATATGTTTTATATGGAAAAGCAATGAAAATTAATTATTTAAATTATTTTACATATAAAATAAATTACATTTTCTTCTCAAATATATTTTTTGAATACAAACAGCATGTAATGGCATCAAATACATCATCGAGAATTAAATAATAATAAACTTTTTTATTTTGTATTATATTTATAATGGAAAAATGTCAAAGCAAAACAGAAAAATCTTATAACTGAAATCATTATGGGAAAATATATGTGACGCTACTAGAATATAAATCTCTTCTTTCCGACCAATTTTGCATTGGAAAGATAAATGCTATAGCAATGCTATATGTATTAAATAAATATGTATTAAAATAATAAATTAAAAGTTCTTATAAAAAATATATGCTTTTTTATAAACAAGATTAAAATATCGCTAATTAAATTATCTATAAAATAAATTAAGTAAATTATAAGAAATAATATTTAATGTAAAATATAATGTCTTTGTACTAATAACAATTTAAATACAAACCAAATTTTTATATCTTTTATTAAAAATTTTGGGAAGTTTATTTCAAACATATAGTGTTTATTCTAGCAATACATGAATATATATAATTTAATCAAGCTAC